TCTTCAGTGTTGTTCTAAAATGTGGAAAATAGTGCAAATAAAGACAACACATAAATGAGTAGGTGCTACATCAGTTCTTCAAAGTAATCTGCACAATTTAACAGCAAAAATCATCTAAACAGCAAAACCTCTATCAGGGGCTTTCCTTGAGAAAATGCCTTAATTATGTTTGCTTACAATCACTTCCAGTTTTTTCAGCTGCTCTTTGCAGGAGGGCTTGTGCTGCTCTACACAACCTCTTTGTCTTTACAAAACCTCAGAGGTGTTCTATTGGATTAAAGTCAGTGGACAGACTTGGCCAGACTATACCAGGTGTGTCAGAAAAGTTCCAGGACTGGTGTCACAAAATACATATTTAAAATCCAAACTACAAACTTTCCCCCCTTCCATATAATCCCCCTGGAGTCTAACACACTACCCCAGCCTTCTCTGCCACGTCGCCATGCACTCCTGGAAGGATTCTTCCAGGATCCTCCGCAGCTCCGTCATCACAGCCATCTTGATGTCGTCCAAAACGGGTCCCCTTGATGACCCCCTTGAGCTTGGGGAAGAGGAAAAAACCCACATAGCCAGGTGGGGTGAGTAGGGAGGTTGCTCCAGCACGGCGATGTTCTTCTCAGCCAGGAACTGTGGGATGCTCAGGGCATTGTGAGCGTTGTCATGGTGAAGCAGCCATGACTTGTCCTGCCACAACTTTCACCTCTTCTCTGAACGAAGCGAACGCAGCAGGATCTCTTTGTAGACGTGCTGGTTGATCGTCTTAAGGGGAAAACTCATAGTTTGTAGTTTGGGTTTGAAATATATCTGTTGTGACACCAGTCCTGGGACTTTTCTGATGCACCTCAGGTTTTCACTTTGATCTTCTGTAGAAACTCTGATTTTGGCAGCGTGTTTTTGGTGGTTGTCATGTCTGAATATTCCTCTACCGTCCAGCTTCTGCAGACAGGAAGTCATCTTGTCAGCTATTATTATGGTACATATCTAAAGGCATTCATGGTGTAGCTATAAACGTCATCTCCCTTTTCCACTCACATCATCTCCGTCCCACCTCTGTGCTTCACTGTCAGGACATTCACTGTAGCAAGTCCTGACCAGATTCAAGCCAAACATTCTGGACAACATCTGAGTCAAACAAATTTTTATCTTGGTCTCACCTGTGCTCTTAATGTTTGCCAGTCTTCTTTTCATGCAGTGTAGTAAAGATAAATCTTACAGTTTTGTGCTAAGCAGCAGCAAAGTTTTTTCTTGGACGCTGTCTGTAGAATCCTACACAATGAACTGTCTGCAACGCTGTCTGAGCCGTCACTGATAACACCTGCACGAAGTCTGAAGCACTTTATTTTTCAGAGCTAAATTGTAAAAGTCTCACACCGTCCGTGGTGTATAGGAGGACGACCACTATAGCTCTGGCAAGCGGTACTATGGCTTGTTCTGCACCTTCTGATTACTGTGTTTCCACTGATTTTTAGTTGGTCACAGATCTTTTATTCTTTTTCATCTTTGTGAAGAAGATTTTTCCAGTCCTCTGGCTATTTTTTTAGCGTGGAGCCCTGATGCAAACATTCAGACAGATGCTGTTAAGGTTCACAGGAAAGGGATCCAAAAAGGCAACAGAGGGGTTGGTGGTTAGGAAAGAGGGATTTATTCAGGCTGCAAGGTACAGAGGACACCAGGAAGCATGTGAGGGAAGCTGTGTGAAGGAGGGAGGTCCAGGGGGACAGGGTGGCTGAACGGCTGAGGCAGGAGCTCGGCTGAAGAGGCTGGGCCGGGGGAATACGTCGGTCCGTCGGGGAGGTTCTGGTAGCAAAGGCACAAGATAGACAAAGCGAGTTTCTCTAAACACAATTCCTCTAAGCACACTGGCTGTTACCACTGGAGGGAGGATAATCCACTGGCGCTGGAGCACAGGTGGAGGCAGGCTTTATCCAGCGCTGATGATTGATGAACCTCAGGTATGGGAGAGAGTGAGTGAAACCTCTCCCGACCAAAACCCCGCCCAGCCTGAAAAACAACGAGCAGCCACCAAAACAGCAGAGACATACACTAAACAACGTGTCTCAATAAAAGCACAAAAACTCGGATCACCACAGGTGCAGCTTGTCGGTCAAAAACTGATGAAGTTCTTCATGCAGCAAGGCTGATTGAAAATTGCAAACGTCTCCAGTGGTCACAGATTTTCTAGCTGATCACAGGCGTGTTCACTTTTGTTGCAGAGTTTCTACTTTAGAATCCATGTTTTCAATAAAGTCTTTCTAAAGAATTAGCTACCATAACAGGAAATATTCTGCTGTTCAGCTTAGAAATTATTGAGAAGGAATGCAATTTGACTTTTAAATGATTTTGGGTGTACTGGCTTCTGTTGTACACTGTAGGTCGTCTTCAAAATTTAGAAGAAGCAACGGTGTAGAGTTGCATATAAACCATTTGAAGCAGCAGGGATTCCTTTTATTCAGAAAACTTCTAAATAAGTAACTAAGAGTTTAATAAAGTCAGTGCTGCTGTGTCAAAATTGTTAAGTTCCTTGCACTTGAGTTGATTGTTTATTTCATCGTCATCTTATAAATTGTGAAACTAGCTGAGTTAAACTGACTGAATTTGAGAAAACAGGTTCAATAACCTCAACATGTAAAGTTAAATCAACTAGTCAGGCAGTGGTTACAGATGGATTTAGGTTCCTTTTACATTTTTTAGGTTTAAAGTTGTTTGTCTTTATTTAACAATGAGAACATCAAGCCTCAACCACTGAAGCCATTTTTGAACACAGTCAGTACGAACACAATCTGTGGGACGCTCCTGCTTATAGTAAGATGGATTATAAATCTACGGATATTACGAACCGTGTCCACCATGTCTGTCGCCTCCAAGTACAACTCATCCATTATTTGTCTCAATGAACTTTTTAAATTCTAGTCTGAAATTAAGAATACATCTCGTGTTTAATTAACCAGAAAGACGCACACATTTACATGAAGTAAACCCGAAAAAAGATGAGCTGACTTGACTAAATTCCTTTTACAGTGTACAAGAATTTACTTTCTGGAGTAACTGCCTCCACACATCACAAATGACTCTTACAACATTCCCTGTCTCCTCAGATGTGGGTGTTGACGTGGGCTGATGTTTAACCACTGTAAAAGGACACATTTCCTGCAGTAGGATGTATATCTGATCCAGCCACTTATTGCTGAAGCATTTGTTTTGGAGAGGAATGCTCCTGCTTGCTGCGGCTTGGCACAAGAATGGACAAGTTGTCTCATTAGGAGTCTATGGAAATCGAACAAGTCTATTTAATTGATCCCTGAGTGCTGTCAAAACAAACAGAGAAGGATAAGCTACAAGTCAATAAGCCATTTGACTCCTGTAATCAATCAGAGGAGGGAATCGTTGGCAGTGTTTCTGTGCGTAAAGACTGGAGCCAGTTTTGGGGGTTGAAGCGGAAAAAATGAAAGTGCTCCCAGTTTATTTTACAGAGTGACACTTTTTCATTGGAGTGCCATAGGTAGTGTGTTTGTGTGTGTGTGTGTGTGTGTGTGTGTGTGCGCGCGCGGGCGCGCGTGTGGCAGCAGCTGCTTCCTCCCTGACTTTCTTCGCTGCTCCTCATTCAGCCTCCTCAGTCCTGCAGCGGCGGACGGACTCTGCGCTCCGGGCTGCAGGAGCGACATGTGAGGAGCCGCAGCGCGAACAGCTCTGCCAGAAACAAACCTCTCTGCGGCTTTGGGACTGAAAACACCGACTCTCAAGCGCAAATACCGATTGTGAGCGATCCAGGAGCAACTTTGCAACTGTCTTCGTTCCGGTTTTTGTTTTGCTTTTTTGTTTGTTTTTGGATGCAGATCTTCAGTCAGCATCAGGCTGCATCTTCAACACCTTCAGGCGCTCAGCATCAAACATGATCCACACATGCACGGTCAGTAAGCTGAAATCTCACTTGCTATGTTTGCTTTTCTTTGAGGCTTAACCAAT